CGTCCACTTTAATAAAGTTTGATTAGGGGTGGTTCGGTACGGTATACCTTATATTTTTTTTCATACCTTTGCCGTACCAAAACTTTCGGTATGCAAAATTTGCATACCTTTACCTTACCGAAGTTTCGGTATACCGCATTTCGGTATACCGAAGTTTCGGTTCGGTAACGGTACGGTATCGGTAAATTACCGTGCATGTCTCCCAATACAAAAAATTATCATAGACTAACGAAATATACTAAATCGTTATTACTAGCGACATATTAAATCATTATTTAAATGTTACGAAATACAATTAATAATATATTGATGTCAATTCAATATTGAACAATAATTATTAGTATATTTAAGCAATTCAACACGCCACATATTAAAAAGTAATAGTGTAACACATTCTCCTAAATAACTTGAACAATATAGATATAATTAAACCGATAGTGATCTCAAACAAAAATAAATAAAACTATTCAAACAACATGGATATAAAATCATTTATTCCTAATATGATATTGTGTATTTAGTCTTTTTTATAATTTTTTAAAAATTGAATAAGATTTTCAGACAAAGTTGTGTGTCTCGAGTCGCGGAATCCCTATGTAGATACACTTGTCACATAAGTGTATCTCTCTTCACTCGTCAGCTACTTAGCAGTCCAGCCATCACGACTTGCAAGCTCTTGGAACAAGATGAACTTGTTTCTTGACATTTGTACATTACTCATTAGTCATTAAGGTTAGCGTGGTAGAAGCCTATAAGGTTATAGTGAGTTTGAGAAATTGGGCATTTATTTTTGTATATTTGTATTTGTAATCAACTTAAGTATTAATTTTGGGCTTCAAAATTGTAATGGATTTCTACAATATATTAGAATTAAAAGTAATTGTTGAGTAGAGAGTCGGTACGGTATTATACCGGTATACCGCGGTATTTGAAAACATTTACCGTTACCGTACCGTAATAGATCGGTACGGTATAATACCGTACCGAAAATGACGGTACACCAATATTTCGGTATTTTCCGGTATTTTTCAGTACGGTAAGTGCGGTATACCGATATTTCGGTATTTTTGCCCACCCCTAAGTTTGATTCATTTTTTGAATTTGACTGCTAACTTCAAGGTTGTTGTTTTACACGGAGTAATTATAAATTAGGAAATTAATATTCTCTTAATATAAATAGGACTAAAAGTATTTGTATATTTCAAAATAGAACTATCATGTTTTTATTTCCTAAATATGACATGTTTTGGCAGTATCAAACTTTAATCATTACAATAATTTCCAAAATTGACAGTAATTATTCCTATTTAGGGAATAAAAATATGACAGTCCTATTTTGGAATTTAATTTTTTTACTCCTATTTCAGGGATTTTTCCTTGAAAATTAAAGTTGTAAAGCGAGAATGCTTATGAACAATCTACATTTATGGATATGGTTACTTAACTAAACAGGGTAACATAGATTTTAAATTCCTAAAATATGAGTTTTAATTACTACTAAGAAATATGAAAAGTAATTAGTTATTCAATTTGAACTTTTTACTGCAGTCATGTCAGAACCACAACAAATATGTCTTATGAAGTATTTTTTATAATTCTTGTTGCGGTTATAGCTACAACCGCAGCAAAAGTGTAGTTTTTTTCAAATAAAATACACCATTGCAAAGATCTTGGAAAAAATGTGGTTTGATTTTTTTTACATCGATCAGATACGCGAACGCGAAACAAAGTGTCAAAGTGTATTTGAAATTATCGAAAAAACATTTATGCAGTGGTTATAGCAGGAATTGCAGCAAATGGAGTCATTTGCTACGGTTCCGATTATTATCGCGGCAAAAAACACGACTTTTTTATATCTAAAAATACACTTTGTTTCGCGCTCGAGTTTTTTTTGATTGGGTATCTTTTTTAAAAATTATATATTTTTTGAGATCTGTGCAATGTTGAATGATCTTATCGTGTTTCAATAAATTTTCATGTTTTTTGTGCTTTATAATTTACTTTTCAAGTATGCATCGAATATTTAAGTACATAATGAAAATATACCTTGAAAGTATTGTGCATATAATCTTTTTAAATAAAAACATATTAGATCTCAATATCTAATGGAATAACATAAATAATATTACACATGCTATTACATTTAAAATTACAGAAACTATTAATAGAAACTACTTTATTCATAATATAACAATTTTTAGAGTATATATACCGAATTTAATTTATGTGTACTAAAAACCTTCAATGGCTTAGTGGTTTGAAAGTGAATACATGGTCTGTGGGTGCTCTAGTGTTGTTTAGAGGTCACAAGTTCGAAATCCGTAAGAGGCAGGCTAAAAGATGGCTTAGTGGTTTGAAAGTGAATACATGGTCTGTGGGTGCTCTAGTGTTGTTTAGAGGTCACAAATTCGAAATCCGTAAGAGGCAGGTTAAAAGATAGCAAGGTGGATTAATTTTTTAATTCTAAAAAAAATCTTTTTTGCGGTTATACAACAACCCCAGCAAATAGTATTTTGCTTCCAATAGTTCAAAACAATCGTAGCAAATAAGGATTTCTAACTTCTTGTAGTGAAAGGAGTAAGATTTTCTAATTACCTTATTTAATACAGAAAAATATATAGGCGTGGCTATTACATGTGTATATACGCGTAAGGAAATAACGTAAGATGTGTTGAGCTCATATTGTTTACGTCATAGCTTACTTGTAGTTTTTACCCGTCCCGCTCGTAAAATTCATTGGGATAAAGTGTTCAATTTCAAACATAGTTGACAATTATATAACAAATGATACTCCGTAATTAACATTAAAGCGGTCGATGAAATTGATTAACGAGCGGTAGCGGTCATGAACCATAATTGACCTAACTCTTTTTATTAGAGGATATCACTAGCTATGAATCAAACTTAAATTATTATTTAATTTTAATAATTGTCAATCATTATGATTAAATTGAACACCTTTTTCCACAAAGAATTTTACGAGCCGGGTAAAAAAGCTATGATGTAAGCGGTGTGAGCTCACCCATCTTACGTGATTAGCTTACGCATACACACATGCAACAACGTATATCCTATAGTACGTTGGTACAATAGATTCCTTCGTCCATCTTATAACTTTTGTGATCTGTGACATTTTTATTAAATAGAAATTATCTAGTTAATCAATCAATTAATATAACAATAATAATTTATACAAAGTAATTCTATTTATATACGTTTCACTTATGTATATAATCTTTAAATATATTTGTTTAATATTTTTTTATTTTTGTTTCGTTTAATAATTTGTACAAAGTAATTCTATTTGTTTTATTTATTGTAATTGATGTAATCGATCTCAATTGTATTTTAAACTTTGTTAAGATCAATATACTTTAATTCAATAGTTTTTTCCTTATATTGGGGGTTATTAACATGAAAATATGAAGTAGTAATATAATTATTCTATTTATGGATTTAATGTTTTATTATATAACTATAAACATATTTGTTGGGTTAATGGCCCAATTCAAGGATCGGCCCACATAACCCCTTTATGGACGGCCCAACAAGCCTCAGCAGGGGAAGACGAACGTCTCCACAACCCAAGCAGCTAGGCCTCCAAGCCCAAGGGAGGAGCGACGGACGGCCCACAACCCTTTGCAGTATCACCAGGGGCAAGCTACAGGATCAAGCACTACTAAAAAAGGATTTTTAACGATTATCATATAACGACGACCCTCACATATCATCCTTAAAAGTATCCTTTTAACATTAAATAACAAGTTTGTCGTTAGAAAATTGATTGTTAACGACCATATTAAAATTTGTCGTTGTTAAGCATATAGTCATCTGTTGTTAATACGTAGTACTAATTTACTTTTAGATACGGAGTGTGATTTTGTAAATTAAATCAGGACCAAAAATAAGCCGACTTTACTTTTAAGATCATAAATTTTAAATTTCTTTTTAAAAAAAGTGCGCCCAAACTTCTCCCAGCAAAAAATTTTGGCTCTCAAAAGAATACCCTAATTAATTTCGAACCGTTAATTGCATGAGTTGAAACATATTGTGCGTATATGATACTTACCCTAAGTTAGGATGTTTTTACTTGGACTGTAATTTGCTGGTCTGGTCTGATCTGGTCTGGTCTGGTCTGAACTGGTCTGGTCTGGTCTGGTAAGGTCTGGTTTCTTTGTATTTTTATAACTATCCAAGTCTGGTCTGGTCTGAACTGGTCTGGTCTGGTCTGGACTGGTCTGGTCTGGTCTGGGACAAATTACAGTCCAAGTAAAAACATCCTTAGAAAGATCCTTGTACGTCTGAAAGAAATTGCGCGGAGGATTGAACGAAAACATATATGCCGGCCAGATTTCGGGCAAATTTTTAATATGCCCCTAAAAGAGATTTTTTTTATCAAAGTGCCCTCATAAGGTTTATTATTATTAGGGGTACCCTTCACAAATCAAACCATTGCTTCTCTTCTGATGGATGCCCTCCTCCTAGCGTACATACTCTTCCTTGAAGCGTTCGAACAAGCTATGCTTTGAACTTCGGTTGAACACGTTCAAACCTTCCTCTTTGAGTTCAACGTAACTCACCAATCATCAACATCTTCTTCTTTAGCATCTCCATTGTCTTCATTCTCCCTTCCAAGTAAGTTAAAGTATCTTTAACTATTTATTTCAAGAAATCTACTTAGTATAAAAAGCTTTGTTGACAATAATGGATAACTCTTAACCTGTTTTTTTTTAAATAAACTACGAAGACTATACTTCGTGCGCCTTAGATGGGCATATTTGATAGGTTCTACCATGGTTGACTAGGTTTGATCATGTTTGACCATGTTTTAACATTCTGGTAGGTTTTCATAGGTTCGACGGCTTCTTAGTTGGCCATGTTTGATATGTTCGACCATGGTTGACTAAGGTTGACCGGGTTTGACTGTGTTCTAACATTTTTGTCAAGTTTGACAATTAGTTTGACTATGTTCAATAATTTAATATTCTTTACATTCACAGATGGTTACATGTTCGACGCAGTTGATATTCGTTGTTTATGATGGGCAATGGAAAAAACATGAGAATGGAGACTACACGTTTGAAGGAGATAAAAAATTGTTGCTTTCGGTTGGGATGCATCCAATACGGACTTTGATTCATTTTTGGAATGTTTGTGTGGGGAAACTTGTTATAAAAGGGTACTCATTCGTTGAAAGTCTCTTTTCAAATGTCATGGTTTGACCTATGTGATCGTAAGTACACGCGAGACCCTATGTATGTCGCATATGCCGAAACCATTTATCCTGTCACAAGAGAAGAAGAATGTGAAGCCAATGATGAAGTCCAATTGGAAATTCATCCACCTATAATTTCTAGGAAGAGAGGAAGGCCTACGATGAAAAGATTTCCATCCGTGGGTGAGCGTATGAAGAAATGGCAATTGACGTGTTCGGGGTGCAAAAAGAAAGGACATACCTTAAGAACTTGTAAACATAAGTTGCCTACTGTGAAAATAGTAAATGACTCTACTCTGGAAACACTAGATGAGTTGCAATTTATTTTGTACTATTTATCGTTTATTGTACTTATTTATTGTGTTTTCTCTCTATTTATTATGTTCCATAACATATTGTAAGGTTCACTATTGAACCTGGTCAAACATAGTAGAACAGGGTAGAACATATAATTTTACATGGGTAGAACAAGGTCGCCATGCTTCATCTTTTTTAGCTTTATCATGATGATTTAAATGATTACAAAGTTGATGAAAACGTTTTAAAATCGTGTTATAACCAACTTTATCTTTACTTCCATCACGAAGAACAGAAAGCCAGTGAGTATCAATAAAATTTGCTCTATCATCCTCATCATAATCATTCTCAAAATTGTCTTTGTCCAGAGCAGTGTAGTTGTACCCACTAATTAAAGCAGACTCCTTTAGACATTAGCGAATTGGAACCCCCTTCATCATAAACCACACCTCTGAAGTTCTCTCAATATCCGATATTCTACCGAGTAAATGCCACATAAGGATGGGTGTATAGACATATTGCACGTCTAAGTACTTGCCAAATATAGTGGACCTAAACTGATTCAATAGGTCGGGATGATCACCTAACCAACCCTTGATTTGTGCTTGAAACTTTCCCAATAAACTTTTTATTGTAATTTTCATGTTGGGGAAGAGTGTAGTGTCAACCATCGGAGATATGAATGGAACCTGAACAAAATAATCATGAATACATGTTCTAATTATTAATTTTCAAACATGGTCGAATACAGTCAAACAGGGTAGAACAAGGTCAATTTGGTTCTAACACGATAGAACAAGGTAAAATAAAAATAGGGTAGAACAAGGTCAAACACAATTAAATTCACATTAGAATATAGTAAAAAACACAATCAAACACGTTCAAACAAATTCAAAGTAAGAACAAAAACATGTAATTAGGTTGGGTGAATGGGTAATTACCTTGATTTCTTTGTTTAGAGAAAAAAGATTCAACTTTGAGGATCTTCTACATCAAACTTATCTTGTTAAATTTCTTTACTCTGCTCTGAGCCCGACTTCTCCAGAAGATTTTTAGCAGAGCTTACTTCTCCTAATTTTACCAACCTACGCTTACGTATGCTTAGGCTTATCTTCTTCAATCATTGGAATTGTAGGGGTTTTGACCTTCATAATACCTGAAGTGGCACGTTTGCCGTTGAAGGAGGAGCGTTTTAGAATGACGAAAGATAGAAGGAGGAGTGCCGTTAGGAGCAGGGTTCGAAGAGGAGTGCAATGGAGAGAGTTTGAACCAGTTTGACCTTGTTCTACTTGCTAGGAAGAAGACAGAGTAAAGAGAGTTGTGCAGGTGCGGGGGCTGCGTTCATATCTTTGGACAAAGAGTTCGAAGGAGTATTCAAACCGTATGTTTTAGTAAAGGTTATTTTGTAATTTCACAAGTTTCTTTTATTTAAAACAGAAAAGGGGCATTTTGATAATATGGGTTTGAAAAGAGGGTATTCCTATAAAAATTCCCCATATTTCTTCAAAGCTCATCGCTCGCTCATCGCCCATCGCTCATCCCCACTTCAATTCTCTGGTTCTTTTGCTCAATCGCACTTGTCCAGGCAAACTATTGCATAAACTATTTTTGAAATATTTTATGTTTCTCGATCGTTCTGTTGCTTCATAAACTATTTTTGAAACAATTAATCGCATATATTCTTAAAAACTACAACTATAATCTTCCTCTTCTAGTCTCTGTTTTTTGTTGCTCAATTAATTTGTTGTTTGTCGAGGTTATCTCGTTCTCTAGACTCTAATGTCCTCACTGGGTTCATATTCGTTAATCTTCTTAACTACTCTTGTTTTTTTTGCAATCTTTTGTTTTTGCTGGTGGTAATTTTTCAAATTGCTGCATAACTTCGTATTGAAACTAGCCAATCAATGATTTTTGATGCATTAACTCAATTTGAAACTTGATTTCTGAATAAGTTTTATTGAGATTTTTTGTTTTGTTTTGGGTTTTAAGGTTAGTTTTTCGAGTTTTGTGTTTGGCTAATGTAAGTAGAATTAAACCAACTAGATAGAGAAAATACTGTAATACTAAAAACTTAGAAGAATAGCACTTTTAGCCCTAAACTTTAATGAATTTAGGGCCGATATGAAATTATGAATAGTAAAAAAATTGAATTTCTTGAATTTGTTTGATCTAAATTCAGGGAGAGACAACAACCACTGCCTAGATAAACATACTAACAGTCATAAATATATAAGTAGACTGTCTTCTTAATGAGTATGTGTTCTCAAAGCATTTTTCTGAATAGTATGAACTATGAATTGACTGTCAACTTAGTATGATTAGTAAAAAATTGGGTTTTTCTGAATGTGTTTGATCTAAATTTAGGGACAGACTATAGCCACTGCCTAGATAAACATACTAACAGTCATCAATACACAAGTCGACTTTGTACTTGATGAGTATGTGTTCTCGAAATATATAACTTAAAGTGATGCCATTTGAGAGCAACTCAAATTGTCATTAAGTGTGACAAAGTAGAGTCTGTTTTATGAGAATGTGTTCTGAAAGCATTTTGTGGAACTTCTCCTTGATGCATTGTTAAAAAACCATGAACCAAAAGAAAGAAAAATGTATTTGTAGTTGAGATATTACAATAGACAAATCATTATTAGGAAATACCGCGTAAGTTATTTCAGTATTACAAAAGATAGCATTTCATAATAAAAAAAAGAGTCACAAAAATGAAAAAATGTTCTTACAGCTAGAAAGTAGAATGGAATGTGATTATTATATCTCTAGAGAAGTTCTTGTTGTTACTTTTGTGGACATTAGATGAACCTATATTAAATTACTTCATTGTTAATCTTGCATATGAAAAAGATAAGTTGACATTGCTAGCTTTCACATTTCGGTATGTTTATAATGTTTTTTTATTCTTCTTAAGAATATTTGTTATCATTATTCATATTATTTGTTAAATAGTAATTAAACTATGCAGGTTTGTTTGAATCAAATGCACACAAGTTCTGGCTGCAGGATAGGCTCCTTACGTAACTAGCATATACATACAAAGCATTCATTTATTTAGTCTTCCTTTAGCAACGACGCTGAAGTGTTTGTTGATACTATTGCAGGTTGGGTCACCTGAGAGTCTAAGATCTGTATTATGAGAAATAATATTAAGAATATTCCCTGAAGTGAGAAGGAACTTGTTGTCATTCACTGTTTTGATAAATGTGCATAATAGCGATGTATATGGCCTAGTTTGGATGACATTTATTCTTTTCCTATTACACTAAACCAATTTTCATGGACATAGTACTATTTTTGACATGTAGTGACAGGTGGCGAGCCAGGTGTTTTTAGTAGTTTTTTTAATAACACAACAGTACACTACAGAGAATTTTGCTGCTTTTTATGATCCCTGATAGTCATTCGTTCATGGAACAAACTGAGCACTTCTCCTCTTCTTTAACAATTTTTTTCTATACAATTGAGCATGTGGAAAATTGAGCAGAAGTGTTGTTTTCAGAACATGCTCTGAAGAAAAAAGTCGGGTCGTATTTCAATGGGCACTTAATTTTCTGTGAGAACTTGTAGTGCTGCTCAGAGCCTCAGACATGTAATAAGTTCTTTATAGACGCTCTTTCGCGGATATTATATTCGTAGTGAAATTATAGAGTGTGTTTTGTTGGGTTTATTTCATCTAGAATAGCTGAACCTGCCTAATATTCTGAAACGCAAAGCATTTGGTAAAATCCATTTGAGCCAAATGATTAAATGAAAAACTACTTATTAAAACTTACTAGATTCTTATTATGAGTCAACGAAGAACTACTAGAATAGCAACACTATCTCTTCTTTATCATCAAAGTCATCTCCTTGCCTTGCCCTTCTCTTGGCCCTCAGATTTCGTGCAGGAGTCTCCTCTATATTGATAAGTAAGTTTTTTCTCTCCTTTATTCTTGGGTTTTTCTTAATTTGTTACTATACTAGGTATCTATTATCTGTTCTGCACTTTTGCTGGACTCATGTTGCCATGCCCTGACTCTCCTTCTCTATTCCTCCTTTCGCAGATAGAGAAACTTGGGCTCATCTGTTATAGGTTGTGCATCGTGCTCTCCTATTCTTCATGCCTTATCCGTTACTCCATTGTAAGTTATGCTTTGCCTCCCTTCTTCTTGCTTTGTGTGTGTTCATATGTTGTAAGTTATGCTTTGCCTCTCCTCTTCTTTCTAAGTTAATTAGTAATTACTTCTATGTCCGTATGAATGCATGTGTTAACTAAGCAGTTTGTGTTTATGGGTATTTGTGTTCTTAGCAGTATGCTTATTTCAATGGCAGATATGGCCATGTGTTTGTGACTAATTTTATGACAATAGCCTTTATGACTATATGTATGATTGCACATAGAGCAATATGCCTGGATTTTTTTTCAGCAAACCAAAAATAACATTATAATTCCTTAAAACTAGGAGGATGCACGTTTTAATTTGTAATCTTTATCAATCTTAATTTCTTGAGAGTACAAGCATTTATAGTTATATAGATTTGTTAGAATCATATTTTATTTATTTCATAGCACCTTAACTATTATTGTTGTCTCTCTCATGGGGTTCAAATCACTCACTGACCTACTTGATTTTGGAAATAAATTTTTTCTCCAAGAAACATTTCATTCTCTTATAAGTATTTATCTTTCTACTTGATTTTCAAATACCTACGTATTTGAAGCTGGGATATTGTGGCACTGCCTTGGAATTACTACTGCTTTATTTAGTATTCAGATTTTCATGTTGTTAACAATAAATACGTTTTAGAATTTAAGTATTGAGATTTATTTTTGTTTATGTGGATGTTGATTATTGTGTCAAGTCACAACTTAAATATATGTAAAAGATAATTTATTGATCCTTCAATATATTGGAAGATTTGCAGTTGGTTGTATGTCGTTGCTCAAAGGATAAGTACTTTACATGTAATTATA